GAAAAAGGATATGGGCTCCAGAGAGTATATGACGAAAACACTCCAATGTGTGCTGGTGATTCACGTTGACACATACAAATGCCAAAGCCTCCTTGCCAACAATGACAAAGATCTCAAAAGGATTTCCTCGATTTGGAGCACACATCACTGGGGCAAGGTGAAGTTGCCAAGTACTTGGAGGCTGGTTGTGCTCCTGACAATTTCTCCCTGGACCAGCAAAGCACGGCGATCAAGGCTCGAGATTACTGCTTGGTCGGTGGAACTCTCTATCGATAGACATGCAAGATCTATTGAAATCAGGGGGAATTCCTAAGTCATGTTCTTTGGCACCCTAATAGATGGACTGAATTGATTTCTTAGAATAAACAGGGTTGGCATTTTTTAGTCTACTTTGGCCCAATGCATATAGCAATCATAATTTTCCAAAACAAATAATAGTAGAATAGAGGTTTACCATTTCAAAAAAGATAAAGAACTAATAATGATACCACGTCTATTATCGTCCATTTGTCAGAGAACCAACAGAAGGATCCAAAGCTATTTCGGAGGATAAATTTGGAGACAATGGTTCAGGAACTTGTACAGTATCTTCCATCATTTGCACCACTTTCCCCATTGATGGCCTTGCATTTGCATCATGCTGAATGCACCATAATGCAACTTTGAGCAGCCTCTTGAACTGCACCAAATCCACTTCCTCCCTCACTAGCTTCTTGTCAACGATACTTTCCAGATCTCCTGCTTGATACATGTTGTAAGCCCAGTCCGAGAGACACCAGCGGTTGTTTTCTGAGTTTATGGCAGATATTGTCATGAGGTACTTCTCCCTGCCGCTTATAATCTCGAGCAACACCATTCCAAAGCTGTAGACATCCGCCTTGGTTGTGATTGGAAGGTCGCTGATCCATTCAGGTGCAAGATATCCCCTGGTCCCACGCACAGTTGTCACACTCAATGCCCTCTCCCGTTTCATCAGCTTGGCTAAACCAAAATCCGCTACCTTTGGAATAAAGCTCTCATCAAGCAGGATGTTTTGAGGCTTTATGTCGCAGTGGAGAATGCATTCCTGACATTCGTCATGAAGATATGTTATCCCTCTTGCAATCCCCAAAGCAATGTTGAATCGGCTGGCCCAGCCGCAAAAGTGCTCTGTATCATTCAAAAAAAGTAGCTTCTCCAGTGAACTATTAGGCATGTACTCATAAACCAGGAGCTTTCGATTGTCCTCGTAGCAATACCCCAGCAAGCGGACGAGGTTGATGTGGTGAATCTTGCCGAGGGTCTTCACCTCGGCTTGGAACTGTTTATCGGCTTGCATGGCCATTTCCAGCTCCTTGACTGCAACAAGAGTGCCATTTGGAAGCCGCCCCTTGTAGACTGTCCCAAATCCTCCCGATCCAAGCCTGTCATAAAAGTTGTCTGTGAAATTTTGCAGCTGCTGATACGTGAATATTGCAGGCCCACTGCCAAAATCGAGATCCATCATGTTGTTACGTGCTCTAGCGCTTATGATCCAGCAGAGCCCCATAAAACAAGTAACCAAGAGGAAAACCATCAACACAAGTGTTGTGATGAAGAGCGCAATGCGAGGACCATCTCTGAAAAATGGCCGATGGAGCACCAGCCACTGGAAACCAGGAACGACGGTGGCATTTGCGTTTGTCACGTATACGTTTGCATCCGGACTTTGTCCTGGATCTTTGGCAGAAACTTTCAAGAAGAAAACGTTGTCCACGTCCACAGACTGCTTGCCATTGAACAGACCCGAGGGATCTAAGCCCTTGAGCCAGCATATTCCAGCGCCACCCATCTGGAAAGCAGCTCCGAGACACTCGCACTCCCTGAGGCATCTTTGGATACAATCCTCCTGGGATGACGGATTTGGCAGCGGGTGGCTATTGTAGTCATTGTATTGGAAGTCCGTGCGTACAAGTTGGATCATCTTGAAGTTTCTTGGATCTGTTGAGTTTTGGCCTGTTGGACACTTGGTCAACGGAGTATTGTAAACACAATCCTGTGACGGATCGGAAGCATTTGTGGGGTGAAATCCCGGAGGACAGATGCAAGTTGCAGTCGGCCGGTATGTGCAAATCCCAAAGCGCCCGCATTTCCCAAAGATGTCACACTCGAGAAGAACAGCTTGCCAAGTTATGAGCCATCTGTTCTTGATCTCATCAAGAGTGTAGATTCTCAAGTTGCCATCATCGTCCAGGGTCAGCCTTCGGGTTAGACCAATTTCAGGATAATCAAGCGCATACCTCTGTGCCGTGTCATATACTTTGTCAGGATTTTTCCAGGAGCTGCCGTTCCCATCAAAGAAAGAAAGCATCCCGCTAGTGCTGAAGTTGAGACGAGGAGGACTGACCGCAGAATCGGAATGATTGTCATTCGCGATCTTCCAGTATGGTTCAAGCCAATATCCCTGGGAGTAGAGCGCAACTCTACTCACATCCATTCGAAGGTCATATTTTCGGTTACTGGAGACAAGCCGGGTGTTTCCAATGAGCTGCTGATAAGGAAGAAGGGTGTCCGTGGGGCGCTCAAATGACTGCCAAACAGGCACTCCGTTGCTCGTTAGAAGCTGTAAGTTGCCATTCTCCTGAAGCAAAGCTTTTGTAACTGCGAGAGTTGACGTAGAAGTTCCCCAGATAATTCCAGCAGCGTTGGAGGTGAGAACTAATCGACCATCGGTCTGGAAAACGAGCTGGTCGCCTTTGATAAGCCCGATTGGAAAACCTCCCGTGTCATTGGACATTGCGCTCCAGACGACTGTGTTGGGCATTTTGGTGTACCATATCGAGAAACTATAGAGGGGAGATGTGGGATTGAGATGGCCGAATCCTGCAGAAAAGGTAGCGTTGGGAGACGTAATCCATGTCTGAGGGTCTTCGCCTCTCACAATTATGGTTGTGCCTGGACTTCCACCATCAGCTGCCACCGAAGTTAAAATGACATAGCACAAGCAACAGAACAGGAGAATTCTAAAAGCGAGAAACATTAAGAGCATCTGTTATTTTCTAAATGAACTATAAGGTGTAGTATACCAAGTGATGCTTACATCTTTTTTATAGTTGGGAGTGTCTTGTAGCCACTTGTTGTGTTTTACTTCAGTATCTTTCGTACTATACTGGTCTTCCATGGCCACAACTTTGAATGTTTCTCGCTGACTGCATGCTTGACTCTGACTCTGACGTTGACCTGGACTGACGAGTTGGTGCACGAGCCTTTAAATTTCCTCAATACGTGATTCCCAGGTAATGACAAAAGTTGTTCTTGAGCTACTGCAATAGAGATGGCCTGCATCTCAGCTGGAGGCGCTTTGCTGTCAACATTGACAGGCTCAAAGACTTTCAATCTAGCAATATGGTACCAGAACAAACTGTGGCAACGGAGCAAAATAAAAACGGAGAATTTATTCATATCAGTGGGAACGCACAGCTTCAGCTCAGGGGTGAGAACGGACTCATTGTCACTGATGATGCAAGTGTGATTGTGTGGCAAACAAATCAAATTGGGGCTGTTGCTCTAAAGGTTCTTTCCTTCTGGAGACTGGCAACTTGGTGGTTCGTTGGGAGGACAAGGAGTTTTCATGGCAGAGTTTTCCTGAGGAACAATAACAAGAAGCTTCAAATTCCTCAAAGATACTGGCACATAGCATATCCACTTTGCGAACGTGCCATAGAGATGAAATCGGGGACCAAGTCAACATACAGTGCCAGATTGACAGGTCTTTACATTTTCCAGCAGTTCTCAACTTGAGTTCTGATGGAGTTTTATTGTTTTATGACACAACTGGATCAAGTCTGCCACTGAAAATTCTCACAAATATGCTCTGGATTATGGAATCTCAAATGTTTTGAAGACAGCAGGTAGCAGCGCCCAGACAGCAGCCCACAGGATGTTGCTATGAACTTAGGACTTGGACAAGTGGCAGTTACTGTTAGACAAGTGGGAAGCCGAACTATGGGACTTGGAGTTCCCTGCTTGGAGTGCTGGAGTTTGGACCATGGAAGATGGATACTGAACAAACCTCTTCTACAAAGGCATTAGGTTAGTTATTAATTCTCTTTCTGTCCTGGGATTGAAACATAAAGACAAGAACACCATTGAGGACCAACAAGGGATGTAATAGCTCACTCAAGAATTCTATCAGACCATTTATACGGCTTAGCCATGGACCCCAATCTGGGAAAGCACAGTAGAAGAGGTTATAGTGACTTTCAACCCCACAGGGTCCCCCAATGAGTGGCAAGAGTTTTTGAAGGTAGACTCTTATGTTGAAGGTGGACATTATGTTGTGCTTATGAATGAGACAAAGTCAAGTTTCTTTTTATTTTAGACTAAATGTGATTAATTAGTGGGGGATTAACAATAATCCTATAGTTGTGACTTTTGATCATGAGAGTTCATTATATCAATTATGAGAGACAAAATACAAAAAAACTTTGGTGGGAAATAAAAAGCAAAAGTAAATGGGTGGTGTGATGAGTAATATCAGCATTGCTATTAAAACTAGTGCCAAGGTGGATGAACTTTTAGATAGCTATAGTAACAATTAACACTGAGTCCTTAGACAATAGTGGTTTCTTGGTGTCAACTCATCTTCTCCACAAAACCTAAAGATACCTACTTTTTCAAATAATACCAGGAGTGAACCTTCCAAACCCTTAAGACATTACCCACAGGAATATCCTTAAAATATTTGTGTGGTTTGTGTCATTCTCCTCGTGACCCAACCACAGACGACAGTCTTGTAAAGCTAAACAAACCTCATATAAATGGAGTCCAAGGTAATATGGCCCTAGAGAAAATATGTGCAAATGGTAACACCAATGTCATGACAAAGGTAAGCAAAACCTATAAGGGGTAGTGGATATACTTACAATATTCTTTGATAGTTTTAGATTTTAATAATTTAGAAACTTTCTTAAATACTTTCTAGTATATTCTAGTTTATTCTACCATCTACTAGTTGGTATGGAATAAGATTAATTTTGTGCTTATACATGATAAACATGTTTATAATTATCAACTTCTGATTGATCAATTGGATTCATAAATTAATACTAAACAAACATTGCTACATATAACACATAACAAATTATTCATATATATTTTACAAAATACATTAATAATTGTAAATATAAATTATCACTTAAATCTTAGCTCAACCTCATCAGTTCAAATGTGATGGTGCAAAGGGTGGTATAGTGGCAAGGGAGTACTAGGCCTAACAAGTGTAACCTATCAGGTCATCAAAGGAGTAGTCACCAATTGAGATGCAATCACCACCCCAAAATCAAAATGGCTAGAATGGGTATAGGCATGGTATGTTCCTCCTACTTATTGGTCCTTTGAGGCAATGCATGAGCCTGGGTTTACTAGTGTTCCATAAGCCCCTTTCTATCCAATAGTTAGTACCATCTTGAGTCAATACCCATATTTTAGTTATCCTCCTAAAGTGGAATAATTGTATATCTGAGTAATCATATGGCTGTTGTACCCTCTCCTTGGTTAAGCATCACTAATGATGATTTGGCCCCAATTGTTGCCACCTCTGATGTAGGTGGAATGGTAATATGTCAACTTAGGCCTAACAAGTGTTTGTAAGTGACTAATTTTTCCATTCTACTTTAGTCACTTAACCACACCTCCAACCACTTAGAGGAGTCTCATTCACAACCTCCTTAAGTTCAATTCAGGATTTAGGACTTGCTAGCCCTAAGAATGGCATCCATGCCACTCATCCCTTGCACTTAGTTGAAGTGCTCTACGTGCCCGGTCCCAAGACCGACACCCCAAGGTACCATTGACATACTAACTTATTATGTTAAGGCCATGCCCCTTCACCTTGGTCACACCAGTGGTCCAACACCACCTGCATCACTGTCTCGTCTCTCAAGGACTGGGCTATCTGTCCAGGAGTGAACGTCCAAGATCCACTCCTTAGCATCTTTAAAATGCCCATAGACATGGGGAATAACCTTCCCTAATATCCATTTATAGTCCCCACCAAGACCCTTTTCTGCCCATGGCTGTATTCGCCAATACTACCACTGGGACAGGGCCCATAGGCCCAACCACTAAGTCCCACTGTCTTCTAGGACTTCTTCACCACATGACTGTATCATTGGTCACTACACCAAAGGACCACTCCTCTTCCTTTCCATAGTCTAGGACTTTTGAATAACATTTTGGAACACCGTGGCTTTATGCAAGCCTCATAGGTACTCTCCCCACCTTCCACCTTTTGGTGCTCTAACTATGGGCTTAGAGAGAGGTTCTGTTGAGCCATGCCAGGTATCCAAGTAGGTAATGCCACCCACACTTGGACTGGGAGCATTGACCATTTGATCTCCCAAGGGAACTAAAGTTGGCTCTTGAACACTTCACCAAGCTACCCCACTTGACAGTCTGTATTCATTCTAGCCTTGGACCTCTTAGTGGTTATCCCATCACCCAACATTTGGGTACAACCTTCCTAGGCCAAACTGACCTTTCCTGGCCAAACTGGCCCCACTGGAGTCCTCCCCCTACTATACTTTTGGAACTCACCAAAGCCCCCAAGGTCTGGGAGACAAATGCTTTGGGCTTTCACCCTCTCAAACTCGAACTTGGACTTGGACTCAGACTCGGACTCGAGCTTGGGCTCAATCTCGGCCTCAGCCTTAGTCTCGGTCTCGGTCTCGGTCCCGGTCTCGGTCTCAGTCTCAATCTCGGTCTCAGTCTCGACTTCAGACTCTATCTCAGGTCCTTCTCGGACTCCATCTCGGATTCCATCTCGGGTCCATCTCGGACTCCATCTTGGTCCATCTCAGACTTTCTTGGGTCCATCTCGGACTCCATCTCGGGTCCATCTCAGACTCCATCTCGGACTCCATCTTGGGTCCATCTCGGACTCCATCTCGGTCCATCTCAAACTCCATCTTGGGTCCATCTCGGACTCCATCTCAGATCCATCTCGGGCTCCATCTCGGACTCCATCTCAGTCCATCTCGGATCCATCTCGGATCCCATCTCGAACTCCATCTTGGTCCATCTCGAACTCCATCTCGAACTCCATCTTGAACTCCATCTTGGACTCCTCAAGACGGAGCTTTTAGTCTAAATGTGTTACGCTCGTTTGGCTTCCACTTCAGCCACTACCACGTGGCACCCTTTTGGCTCCACTTTGGGGCTTAGGGATTTGTGTCTCACAGTGTTCAAGAGCCATTTTTAACACTTCTGGGAGATCAAATGGTTGATGCTCCCAATCTAAATGTGGATGGCACTATCTACTTGGATACCTGGTATGGCTCAACGAAACTTCGTTTTAACCATATAGCTAGGGCACTTAAGGGTGGAAAATGGGGAGAGTATCTATAAAGTTCGTGTAGAGCTACAATGTTTTGAAATGTCATTCTAAAGTTCTAGATTGTGGAAAAGAAGAAAAATAATCCTTTTGCATAATGACCAAAAACATAGTCACGTGATGAGGAAGTCCTAGAGGTCAATGGGACTTAGTGGTCAAGCCTTCAAACCTTGACTCAATGGCAATGTTGGCAAGCACTACCATGACCAAAGTAAAACTTTATGGGGCAAAAGAAAGAATATTAGAGAAGAGTGTTCCTCATATCTCTGGACATTTTAAAAGTGCTAAAGTGTGGTCAAGGGATGACCACTCATGGATAGATGGCCTAGTCCATGGGAGATTGGTTTATGGTATGGGTGGTTTTGGACTACTAATTAAACAAAGGTGAATGGATATGGCATTAACATAATAAGTTGATATGTTAATAGTATTTTTTGATGTTTATATTAGGATTGGACATATGGAGCACTTAGACTAAGTGTGAAAACAAAGTGGCATAGAGGTCATTCATGAGGCTATAAAGTCCCTAAGTTAGGAATAAGACTTATGAAGGTTGTGAGTGAGACTCTTTCAAGTGGTCGAAGGTGTGGTTAAGTAACTAAAGTAGAATAGAAATATTAGTTATTTACACTTATATATTGGTTTGCACTTGTTAGTGTTGGGAACCCTTATAATATTGAGTTGAATCCCTCAATCCCTTAATACTCATTAAATAATAATTTACTCTATTTGCCAAGACACTCTCGCTATCATTTCCCATATGCTAGTCTTGTTTGGTCCTATTGGTTATTTATAGAAAGTGTTTAGATTTACTAGTTGGGCATATCTATGGAGTGTAGAGATTGTTATGAACATGATGGTGTTGTTCCCACATTTAAATTCGCAATCTAGTGTCATTTCATATTTAATAAATTTTGCGATTGTTCTAAAGACTAGCTTGTAAACTCTTGAA